CTATGATGGAGGGTAATGTGAAACATTTCTCATGCTATGAAGGAGGGTAATGTGAAACATTTCTCATGCTATGAAGGAGGGTAATGTGAAACATTTCTCATGCTATGAAGGAGGGTAATGTGAAACATTTCTCATGCTATGATGGAGGGTAATGTGAAACATTTCTCATGCTATGAAGGAGGGTAATGTGAAACATTTCTCATGCTATGAAGGAGGGTAATGTGAAACATTTCTCATGCTATGAAGGAGGGTAATGTGAAACATTTCTCATGCTATGAAGGAGGGTAATGTGAAACATTTCTCATGCTATGATGGAGGGTAATGTGAAACATTTCTCATGCTATGATGGAGGGTAATGTGAAACATTTCTCATGCTATGATGGAGGGTAATGTGAAACATTTCTCATGCTATGATGGAGGGTAATGTGAAACATTTCTCATGCTATGATGGAGGGTAATGTGAAACATTTCTCATGCTATGAAGGAGGGTAATGTGAAACATTTCTCATGCTATGAAGGAGGGTAATGTGAAACATTTCTCATGCTATGAAGGAGGGTAATGTGAAACATTTCTCATGCTATGATGGAGGGTAATGTGAAACATTTCTCATGCTATGATGGAGGGTAATGTGAAACATTTCTCATGCTATGATGGAGGGTAATGTGAAACATTTCTCATGCTATGAAGGAGGGTAATGTGAAACATTTCTCATGCTATGAAGGAGGGTAATGTGAAACATTTCTCATGCTATGAAGGAGGGTAATGTGAAACATTTCTCATGCTATGATGGAGGGTAATGTGAAACATTTCTCATGCTATGATGGAGGGTAATGTGAAACATTTCTCATGCTATGATGGAGGGTAATGTGAAACATTTCTCATGCTATGAAGGAGGGTAATGTGAAACATTTCTCATGCTATGAAGGAGGGTAATGTGAAACATTTCTCATGCTATGAAGGAGGGTAATGTGAAACATTTCTCATGCTATGATGGAGGGTAATGTGAAACATTTCTCATGCTATGAAGGAGGGTAATGTGAAACATTTCTCATGCTATGAAGGAGGGTAATGTGAAACATTTCTCATGCTATGAAGGAGGGTAATGTGAAACATTTCTCATGCTATGAAGGAGGGTAATGTGAAACATTTCTCATGCTATGATGGAGGGTAATGTGAAACATTTCTCATGCTATGAAGGAGGGTAATGTGAAACATTTCTCATGCTATGAAGGAGGGTAATGTGAAACATTTCTCATGCTATGAAGGAGGGTAATGTGAAACATTTCTCATGCTATGAAGGAGGGTAATGTGAAACATTTCTCATGCTATGAAGGAGGGTAATGTGAAACATTTCTCATGCTATGAAGGAGGGTAATGTGAAACATTTCTCATGCTATGAAGGAGGGTAATGTGAAACATTTCTCATGCTATGAAGGAGGGTAATGTGAAACATTTCTCATGCTATGAAGGAGGGTAATGTGAAACATTTCTCATGCTATGAAGGAGGGTAATGTGAAACATTTCTCATGCTATGATGGAGGGTAATGTGAAACATTTCTCATGCTATGAAGGAGGGTAATGTGAAACATTTCTCATGCTATGAAGGAGGGTAATGTGAAACATTTCTCATGCTATGAAGGAGGGTAATGTGAAACATTTCTCATGCTATGAAGGAGGGTAATGTGAAACATTTCTCATGCTATGAAGGAGGGTAATGTGAAACATTTCTCATGCTATGAAGGAGGGTAATGTGAAACATTTCTCATGCTATGAAGGAGGGTAATGTGAAACATTTCTCATGCTATGAAGGAGGGTAATGTGAAACATTTCTCATGCTATGAAGGAGGGTAATGTGAAACATTTCTCATGCTATGAAGGAGGGTAATGTGAAACATTTCTCATGCTATGATGGAGGGTAATGTGAAACATTTCTCATGCTATGAAGGAGGGTAATGTGAAACATTTCTCATGCTATGAAGGAGGGTAATGTGAAACATTTCTCATGCTATGAAGGAGGGTAATGTGAAACATTTCTCATGCTATGAAGGAGGGTAATGTGAAACATTTCTCATGCTATGAAGGAGGGTAATGCGAAACATTTCTCATGCTATGAAGGAGGGTAATGCGAAACATTTCTCATGCTATGATGGAGGGTAATGTGAAACATTTCTCATGCTATGAAGGAGGGTAATGTGAAACATTTCTCATGCTATGAAGGAGGGTAATGTGAAACATTTCTCATGCTATGAAGGAGGGTAATGTGAAACATTTCTCATGCTATGAAGGAGGGTAATGTGAAACATTTCTCATGCTATGATGGAGGGTAATGTGAAACATTTCTCATGCTATGAAGGAGGGTAATGTGAAACATTTCTCATGCTATGAAGGAGGGTAATGTGAAACATTTCTCATGCTATGTAGGAGGGTAATGTGAAACATTTCTCATGCTATGAAGGAGGGTAATGTGAAACATTTCTCATGCTATGAAGGAGGGTAATGTGAAACATTTCTCATGCTATGAAGGAGGGTAATGTGAAACATTTCTCATGCTATGAAGGAGGGTAATGTGAAACATTTCTCATGCTATGAAGGAGGGTAATGTGAAACATTTCTCATGCTATGAAGGAGGGTAATGTGAAACATTTCTCATGCTATGAAGGAGGGTAATGTGAAACATTTCTCATGCTATGAAGGAGGGTAATGTGAAACATTTCTCATGCTATGAAGGAGGGTAATGTGAAACAACGTGTTAGATGATGCATTGTTTATTATTTGATGTGGGTCACAATCACTTACTAGATATCCTAACTATAAATGAATGTATTACAGCATTAAGTAGTAGTCAGTGACAGTGATAGGCTTAGGGAGAAAAGGCCATGTTTGACAACCAATTGTCGATGCCTTAACAGCCAGTTCACTGCAATTCATACCGATGTAACTAGGTAGCCAAAATCAACATACATTTGTATTTACTAAGAATACAGCTAGAATTGGTAAATTCTGAAATCGAGCAAATTGAAAGGCATTAAAATATTCAGGCGCTAGTAAGATGCTTATAGCCTGCACAAAATACATGGTGTAAAGCCAATTAACAGATAACATAACATGTTATCATGTTAATTGGATAACATAATTGTTATCATAACATGTCACACGTCTTTTATGTGGGTGAAGACGTGCCAAGTTCCCAAGCTTGATCACAGTTATGATCGGGGCCACTCACACAGACCAGAGCTTCTGTGGCTTGTAGTTGCAGCCAGACTTAATCTTGAGTAAAGAGTGAACCATGGGACAAACCTGAGTCACGAGTGAACCATGGGACAAACCTGAGTCACGAGTGAACCATGGGACAAACCTGAGTCACGAGTGAACCATGGGACAAACCTGAGTCAAGAGTGAACCATGGGACAAACCTGAGTCACGAGTGAACCATGGGACAAACCTGAGTCAAGAGTGAACCATGGGACAAACCTGAGTCAAGAATGAACCATGGGACAAACCTGAGTCACGAGTGAACCATGGGACAAACCTGAGTCAAGAATGAACCATGGGACAAACCTGAGTCACGAGTGAACCATGGGACAAACCTGAGTCAAGAGTGAACCATGGGACAAACCTGAGTCAAGAGTGAACCATGGGACAAACCTGAGTCAAGAGTGAACCATGGGACAAACCTGAGTCAAGAGTGAACCATGGGATAAACCTGAGTCAAGAGTGAACCATGGGACAAACCTGAGTCAAGAGTGAACCATGGGACAAACCTGAGTCAAGAGTGAACCATGGGATAAACCTGAGTCAAGAGTGAACCATGGGACAAACCTGAGTCAAGAGTGAACCATGGGACAAACCTGAGTCAAGAGTGAACCATGGGACAAACCTGAGTCAAGAGTGAACCATGGGACAAACCTGAGTCAAGAGTGAACCATGGGATAAACTTGAGTCAAGAATGAACCATGGGACAAATCTGAGTCAAGAGTGAACCATGGGATAAATCTGAGTCAAGAATGAACCATGGGACAAACCTGAGTCAAGAGTGAACCATGGGACAAACCTGAGTCAAGAATGAACCATGGGACAAACCTGAGTCACGAGTGAACCATGGGACAAACCTGAGTCACGAGTGAAACATGGGACAAACCTGAGTCACGAGTGAACCATGGGACAAACCTGAGTCACGAGTGAAACATGGGACAAACCTGAGTCACGAGTGAACCATGGGACAAACCTGAGTCACGAGTGAACCATGGGACAAACCTGAGTTTAACACTGATAGTTTCACTGATTATAACTGCTAAGACTTAGAACAGTGACGAGGACTGTGATCAAGAACGTGGAACAGTGAACAGGACAGAACAGTGACATTAAAATATCCTTCAAACCTTTTTTGTTTTTCATAGTCCCCGTGGCGCAGTGGTAAAACACTAGCGTGGCGCTTCGCGAGCGCTTTGGCCTGGGTTCGTATCCTAGCCGGGGAAGATTGACTGGGCGCCAATCCTTAACGATAGTCTCTGTTCACCCAGCAGTCAATGGGTTCCTGGTTGTTAATGATTTAGCGGGTCGTATTGCGGGAAACAAATTCGGATTAAGGACCTGCGCGAAACGCTGCGCGTGCTGGTGGCTGTACAAGAATGTAGCAACTCTCACAACAATGTTTTGTGTAGAGTAAGGGGAGACATGATCACTACCTACAAAATCCTCAGGGGAATCGACTGGGTAGACAAGGATATTCAACACTGGTGGTACGCGAACAAGGGGACACAGGTGGTACGCGAACAAGGGGACACAGGTGGTACGCGAACAAGGGGACACAGGTGGAAACTGTTAACTGTTAAACAGAGACTTGGGTTGCCATGGGGACTACAGTATAACACAAACACGTGTTCTACATATATAAATTACAGCCATTAATTATTTATTAAGCAGTACTTCTGTTCGTAGTGAAGATGTATAGAATCAAGAACAAGATGAATGGAATTATTCCCGTTATATTCAGCTAATATTAATCACTAGAGACGACGGGGTTGCGTCCTCCACTCAGAGACTTGGTTGTGTATGGCTGGAAGGATGCGGAGGGTAGTTGACCTTGAGTGATCTGCTTCATGGATGCTGGGTCACTCAGGTTAAGATGACCATCGAAGTAGACGTCATTAATGTACTGCATCAGCTGGTTCACCTGAGAAATGAAGAGGAGATATCATTTAACAAATGATTAGAATGAGTATACTCATTGAAAGATTTTACGTTTTGCTCCGGGGGGCGAGTTTATTGGGCTCTGCCCAATAAAGTGAACACACCGCCATAGTGACAGTATTGGGCAGCGCCACTCATCCTGTGAGTGGACACACAGCCATAGTGACAGTATTGGGCAACGTCACTCATTATGTGAGTGGACACACCGCCATAGCAGCATACCTGGTTGATGGGGTTCTGGGAGTTCTTCTACACCCCCAAGCCCAGCCCGGGGCCAGACTTGACTTGTGAGAGTTTGGTCTACCACGCTGTTGCTCGGAGCGGCCCGCAGACCCACATACCAACCACAGCCCGGTTGGTCCGGCACTCCTTGAAGGAAACAATCTAGTTTCCTCTTGAAGATGTCCACGGTTGTTTCTGTAATATTTCTGATGCTCGCTGGTAGGACGTTGAACAACCGTGGACCTCTGATGTTCATTCAGTGTTCTCTGATTGTGCCTATGGCACCTCTGCTCTTCACTGGTTCTATTCTGCATTTTCTTCCATGTCGTTCACTCCAGTACGTTGTTATTTTACTGTGCAGATTTGGGACCTGTCCCTCCAGTATTTTCCATGTGTTTATTATTTGGTATCGCTCTCGTCTCCTCTCTAGTGAGTACATTTGGAGAGCTGTGAGACAACACTCACTCACAACATATACAACACTCCCCAATAGGAAGAAAACTCGCTGGGATGTTCATCCAAAAGTTTAATATTATTACCAGAACAGGGTGAACATCTTCACTCAGCTGGAACTAGTAGGTCCATTGTTCATCACAATGAAATGTGTGAAGTAAAACATGTGTATGGGGCAAGTAACAAAGTCAGTAGACTAACAGATGTTGTCACAGCTCGTATAAGACTTCGCTACAAGTATCTCTGGCAGTTCGGCTTGTATAGGGATCTAGATGAAGTAAAGTGTAAAGTGTGTGGACATAGGCAGGGACACACACTCGAACACTATATCTTGGATTGTTGTAAAATTGAGCCTTTTAGAGATAAATCTAAGCTCACTCTGTATGATATGGCAACCTATCTTATTACCATGGATAAATTACCTGAAATCCTTGCACTGTATCCACATTTCGCTTCCAGTAGATGAACGACATATGAGGTTCAGAAACAAGTAGTGTATTGTGAGGACTAATAATAAACAGAAGCTCCCCTATGACTCTGTAATATCCCCATTGGCCAAACTATTATGTATTATCGACAAGACCTACCATTAATGTATGATGACTTACTGTAAATATGTAGCTCTTGTAATAGCACTTTCTCTGTAACTAGCTGACATTGTATCTATAAGGTGTGAAGGATAGATGAAATTGTTTATGTAATAATCTAAGATGAGGTCTGATAAAGACCCTTTGTGCCCTCTGTAATGCTTTTGCGCTACCGCTCACAGGATGAGTATGGGGTGCACAATAAACTAGCCGCCTTCGGCGGCAACAATCAAATCAATCAATCAAACTCAGCGGACCTCTCAAGGCTCGCACAAGAAAACAAAACAATTACCTAAACTAAAGCAATTACTTCAGCAACAAAAATGGTTGGAAAAATAATGTCGCCAAAATTAACAAGGGAAATGGGAAGGAAAAGGAGGAAGTAATGGTACTAAGGAATACAGGAAACAATTAAATGGAAATAGTGGTATTACGAAGGAATGGAAATCAGGAGGAAATGGGAGTTGAGTCACCAACATTGTCAGAGTGAGAGGTGGGTGAGAGTGTGTCAGGTGGAGAGCTCCAGTAACCATCCAGCAGTGAGGATGTATACCCACTTTCAGTTACCCTTTACCCATCACCCCTATGTGACCCTCCCTCCATCACCCCTATGTGACCCTCCCTCCATCACCCCTATGTGACCCTCCCTCCATCACCATTATGTGACCCTCCCTCCATCACCCCTATGTGACCCTCCCTCCATCACCCCTATGTGACCCTCCCTCCATCACCCCTATGTAATCCTTCCCCCATCACCACTATTCTGACCCCTCCCTCCATCACCACTATGTAATCCTTCCCCCATCACCACTATTCTGACCCCTCCCTCCATCACCACTATGTCACCCTCCCTCCATCACCACTATGTCACCCTCCCTCCATCACCACTATGTCATCCTCCCTCCATCACCACTATGTCACCCTCCCTCCATCACCTCTATGTCACCCTCCCTCCATCACCACTATGTCACCCTCCCTCCATCACCATAATGTCACCCTCCCTCCATCACCACAATGTCACCCTCCCTCCATCACCATAATGTCACCCTCCCTCCATCACCACAAAGTCACCCTCCCTCCATCACCATAATGTCACCCTCCCTCCATCACCATAATGTCACCCTCCCTCCATCACCACTATGTCACCCTCCCTCCATCACCACTATGTCACCCTCCCTCCATCACCCCTATGTCACCCTCCCTCCATCACCACTATGTCACCCTCCCTCCATCACCCCTATGTCACCCTCCCTCCATCACCACTATGTCACCCTCCCTCCATCACCTCTATGTCACCCTCCCTCCATCACCACTATGTCACCCTCCCTCCATCACCCCTATGTCACCCTCCCTCCATCACTACTATGTCACCCTCCCTCCATCACCACTATGTCACCCTCCCTCCATCACCATAATGTCACCCTCCCTCCATCACCACTATGTCACCCTCCCTCCATCACCAAAATGTCACCCTCCCTCCATCACCACTATGTCACCCTCCCTCCATCACCACTATGTCACCCTCCCTCCATCACCTCTATGTCACCCTCCCTCCATCACCACTATGTCACCCTCCCTCCATCACCCCTATGTCACCCTCCCTCCATCACCATAATGTCACCCTCCCTCCATCACCATAATGTCACCCTCCCTCCATCACCATAATGTCACCCTCCCTCCATCACCACTATGTCACCCTCCCTCCATCACCACTATGTCACCCTCCCTCCATCACCATAATGTCACCCTCCCTCCAACACCTCTATGTCACCCTCCCTCCATCACCCCTATGTCACCCTCCCTCCATCACCACTATGTCACCCTCCCTCCATCACCACTATGTCACCCTCCCTCCATCACCTCTATGTCACCCTCCCTCCATCACCACTATGTCACCCTCCCTCCATCACCACTATGTCACCCTCCCTCCATCACCATAATGTCACCCTCCCTCCATCACCTCTATGTCACCCTCCCTCCATCACCACTATGTCACCCTCCCTCCATCACCACTATGTCACCCTCCCTCCATCACCACTATGTCACCCTCCCTCCATCACCACTATGTCACCCTCCCTCCATCACCACTATGTCACCCTCCCTCCATCACCACTATGTCACCCTCCCTCCATCACCACTTTGTCACCCTCCCTCCATCACCTCTATGTCACCCTCCCTCCATCACCACTATGTCACCCTCCCTCCATCACCCCTATGTCACCCTCCCTCCATCACCATAATGTCACCCTCCCTCCATCACCATAATGTCACCCTCCCTCCATCACCTCTATGTCACCCTCCCTCCATCACCACTATGTCACCCTCCCTCCATCACCACAATGTCACCCTCCCTCCATCACCATAATGTCACCCTCCCTCCATCACCATAATGTCACCCTCCCTCCATCACCACTATGTCACCCTCCCTCCATCACCATAATGTCACCCTCCCTCCATCACCACTATGTCACCCTCCCTCCATCACCATAATGTCACCCTCCCTCCATCACCACTATGTCACCCTCCCTCCATCACCATAATGTCACCCTCCCTCCATCACCACTATGTCACCCTCCCTCCATCACCCCTATGTCACCCTCCCTCCATCACCATAATGTCACCCTCCCTCCATCACCATAATGTCACCCTCCCTCCATCACCTCTATGTCACCCTCCCTCCATCACCACTATGTCACCCTCCCTCCATCACCACAATGTCACCCTCCCTCCATCACCATAATGTCACCCTCCCTCCATCACCATAATGTCACCCTCCCTCCATCACCACTATGTCACCCTCCCTCCATCACCATAATGTCACCCTCCCTCCATCACCACTATGTCACCCTCCCTCCATCACCATAATGTCACCCTCCCTCCATCACCACTATGTCACCCTCCCTCCATCACCTCTATGTCACCCTCCCTCCATCACCCCTATGTGACCCTCCCTCCATCACCACTATGTCACCCTCCCTCCATCACCACTATGTCACCCTCCCTCCATCACCACTATGTCACCCTCCCTCCATCACCACTATGTCACCCTCCCTCCATCACCACTATGTCACCCTCCCTCCATCACCACTATGTCACCCTCCCTCCATCACCACTATGTCACCCTCCCTCCATCACCACTATGTCACCCTCCCTCCATCACCACTATGTCACCCTCCCTCCATCACCACTATGTCACCCTCCCTCCATCACCTCTATGTCACCCTCCCTCCATCACCACTATGTCACCCTCCCTCCATCACCACTATGTCACCCTCCCTCCATCACCATAATGTCACCCTCCCTCCATCACCACAATATCACCCTCCCTCCATCACCACAATGTCACCCTCCCTCCCTCCATCACCATAATGTCACCCTCCCTCCATCACCACTATCTGACCCTTCCCCATCTCAATATTTAGCCCTCCACCCATCTCCTCCAATTAAAACTTTCTCATCCCTCCAAAGTAACCCTTCTCCTAGTGGCCCTTCCGTGTCTTCTCAAAGTGGCCCTCCACAATATCCCCCCCCCCAAGTTACATTCATCATCTGATTACATTAGTGTGAGTTTTACCAAGTGACACTGTTGTGTTACTAAGTGTCACTGTTGTGTTACTAAGTGGCACTGTTGTGTTACTAAGTGTCACTGTTGTGTTACTAAGTGGCACTGTTGTGTTACTAAGTGTCACTGTTGTGTTACCAAGTGTCACTGTTGTGTTAC